ACTGGCATACAGGTCACCACAAGCACCGGCTCCTTCGCAGTGAAGAACGACGGCGATATGAGGGACATTGCCCGGGAAATACAACTACCGCACATACAGCTGACCTGGCCGGACCCGATGTCCTTCTACGAGTTTTCACCCGAAGCACACCGCCAGTTGCAACAGCCCACCAGGCCACGAAGAACTAGACAGCAGACCACGCGCCCCACGGGCGCCAACATATAAAGGACTGCGCACCACCTACCTTCCATCCTGGGCCTCACCTCGACCCACCCGTGGACCAGACACACACCTCCATACCCGATTTCCAGATCCAGAGACTGTGGACACAATGCGCTGACCCATCCGAACCGCAAGTATACCTCCCACGGGAGACACACCCAGCCACATAAGCAGAGAAGCACCAGGGGGCGCACCTGGGACACAGGAGCCCGGCCACGCGGAGCCCTGTGGCCTAATGGACTAATTTAACCTTTTTATGATAACGCAAGGTGCAAGGGGAACGAGGGACATCTGGTCCACATATATAGGGTTAGGAGAATATAGAGTGTCCGCCCCCCCGGCTGGGTCCAGCCGCCGCCGTCCGCCCGCCCTGTGATGAACCTCGGGGAGCAGGCGGGGGATGGTGCCGGCTGGGCACACCCGGGGTGGGGACACAAGGGTTGCAGGAGAGGGGAGCGGGAGCGGCCGCCACTGGGCCACACAACCGCAGAGACACCTCCCACAAGAGACACGTCCAGCCACACCAGCAGAGAAGCACCGGGAGGCGCCACCCCCCCCCGGCTGGGCCCGGCCGCCGCCGTTCGCCTACCCTGTCATGAACCTCGGGGAGCAGGCGGGGGACGGCGCCGGCGGGGCACACCCGGGGCGGGGATGCTGATAAGATACGGTGGGGATGGAGGGTAAGGTCGCAACCAGGCCACACAATCCAGACTAGCCCATAGATCAGCTACACGCTCTAAACATGTGACAAGGAGGGCACGGACACGTAAGCGACCACCCGAGTGAGCACACCCAGATTGATTAAAACGAATCCAGAGACACGAGTGCCCTCGCCCTGACCCCGCATGAGGGTGCCCCCAAAGCCAGAGAGTAAAGGAACAAGGGACGAGTTTGCTCACACTAGATAAGCAACCCAACGGAGGGAGAGGGGAGCGGGGGGGGGAGGGGGTGGAAGCACAGCCCTGCACCATGGTAGAAATGTCAACTGCTTGTTATCACCTGTTGTGAATTTAATCTATATGTTATTGTTACGGTTTATGCCTTACTACGGTACCTTGAACAGACATGCTGTGCAACACACACGCCGGCTCTCGAGCCAACACACCCCGAGGCGGGGAAGACCATCACATCCCATTGAGGTAGCATCCGGGAGCCAAAAAGGGGCGACATGGGACCCGACTGGCCGTACGGAAGACCGACACCGATATACCCTACCACTGCCCAGTAGGAGAGACGTCACTCAGACGGTGAGTCACTCACGGGAGCCACTGGTGGCACCGTGGATTGAAACTCCCCGACGTCTACACCTAACGGTCCCGAGACCGGAACACACCCACTGGAGATCACAGGACATCTCCACGAATCCCACGATACCTTTTCCCTCTCTCTACCCCACCTCGAACCCTGACACCTTGTCCTCACACTGACCACGACGAACAGGCCACACCTGGTACACACACACAGCAGGGACTTGGACAACGACACCGATACAGCACCACCCAACAGCCGACTGACCAAACGACATGACACTGACTCCCGCCCCGCTGCATATTCTCACGATCAATGCCAAAGGCCTGAACAAACCAGAGAAGAGATCAGGAGCACTGAGAGACTTTCATAAACAAAGGGCCTCGATAGTCATGTTGCAGGAAACACACTTTCAGAAAGGGGCCAGACCCAAACTAACAAACCAACACTACACACAAGGATTCTACAGTGACTACCACGGGGGGAAAGCTAGGGGAGCAGCAATACTTTTCCATAAGAGGGTGCCGTTCCAGGAGGGGGGCTGCTTGTCGGACGATGAAGGCAGGTACCTATTCCTCAAGGGGGAAATAGCAGGCCGTCAGTACACGTTCGCGACTATACACGCCCCAAACACACGACACTACCGCTTCCTCAAACAAACACTCCACAAGCTCCAGGCGTTCAAAGAAGGGACTCTCATACTGGGGGGGGACTTTAATGTCGCATTAGAACCGTCATGGGACACCTCAACGGGCACCTCGCATATCCCCAACCAACAACTGCAAGGCATCAAATCCCTACTCCGGGACCACCGACTGGTCGACTGCTGGAGGGCCCACCACCCAGACGCCCGAGACTTCACTTTCTATTCCCACCCGCACAACTCATACTCCCGCATCGACCACATATACACCTCACACTACGACCTTTCATTGGTAACTGACGTCGAGATCGGAACAGCCACATGGTCGGACCATGCCCCTGTCTCCCTCAAAATAAAGTCACCACTATTTCGCCCCACATCTCCGAAATGGAGACTCAATGAATACCTACTCTCCCACCCGGGAGTCACGACCCTTATAGGCGATAAAATCAGAGAACACCTTGCCACCAACACGACGGAGCAGACATCGCCGACGATACGCTGGGAGGCACACAAAAGTGTGATAAGAGGTCACTATATCCAACAGGGGGCAATACTAAAAAAACAAACCGAAGCCCGACTGACCGCCCTATTAGATGACATATACAAAACGGACGAACAAAACAAACGCGACCCAGACCACACACACCAGACCCGACTCCTACAACTGCGAAGGGATCTAGCGACCATACTGCATTCCAAACACCACAGGGAGGCACTTAGAAATAAGGCATTCTTTACCCTACATGGGAACAAGAGCGGTAAGCTCCTCGCTACGATGCTGAGGAAACAGAGACAGCACACATACATCGACAAAATCAGAGACAAACAGGGGTCCCTACACCGACTCCCGACTGATATCATGAGAGCGATCCGTACATACTACACTGAGCTATACGAACTCCCACAACCGACAACCGAACTGTCTAAGGCACACCTTCGCCGCTCGATTCAGGAATACCTGACTAAATACCCGATACCGACCCTAGACGTAGAAGTCGCTGACCTGGTTGACGAACCCATAACCGTTGAGGAATTAGCGCGAGCAGTCAAACTCACTAAACCGGGCAAAAGCTCGGGGCCGGACAGCTTACCGGTAAAATACTATAAGACTTACGCCGAGGATCTCTACCCACCCATGGTGGAAGCATTTAACGCGATACGAGAAGGAGACCACATCCCTACCCAAGCCCTGACAGCCCATATTACCATCATACCCAAGGACGGCAAAGACAGAGAGCATTGCGGGAATTACAGACCAATATCGCTAATCAACTGCGACATTAAGCTACTAGCCAAGATCCTGGCGGTGCGCCTCACCAAACATATCCCGTTTCTGGTCCACCCCGACCAGGTGGGATTTGTGACAGGACGCGAGGCACGCGACAACACCATCAGAGCGCTCACACTTATGCACGGAGGTGGGGGCACGGACGGAGGCCTCCTCTTGTTGTCCACGGACGCAGAGAAGGCCTTCGATAGAGTGAGCTGGGACTACCTCTTCGAGACGCTATCCCACATGGGGCTGGGTCCCCACATTCGACGTTGGATAGAGGCGCTATACCGAGCACCGATGGCCCAGGTATAAGTTAACGGGGCGCTGACTGAGACCTTTACCATACACAATGGCGCGCGACAGGGATGTCCCCTCTCGCTGCTACTGTTCGCTCTCGCCCTGGAACCATTCCTCACACACATCCGCCACAACCCAGACATAACGGGCCGGACGACAGGCCAAATACACCACAAGGTAGCGGAGTACGCGGATGACTTACTTTTCGTGGTGACCAACCCCGAGATCACCCTCCCAAACATCCAGAAAGACCTGCGGACATTTGGCGCTATATCTAACCTTAAAATTAACTACGGCAAATCCTACATCCTTAATGTTAGCGTCCCCGCCACACGCGCGGACCCGCTACGACGCAGCTTCCCCTTTCAATGGGCCGAACAAAAAATTAGATACTTAGGGGTATGGCTGACCAAGCAGAGCAGAGACCTGTATAGGGACAACTTCGCCTCTATACTACACACGTTCCAACGAGACTTGAGGGAATGGTCCTACCCGCACATATCGTGGCTCGGGAGAGTGCAGGTCATAAAAATGAACTTCCTTCCGCGCCTCTTATACCTCTTCCAGGCCATCCCCACTGTCATACCGGGCCCCTTCTTTAACACACTCAGAAAAGAAATGATAAAATACGTATGGAATGGGAGGAGGCCCAGAGTGAAATTTTCCACACTGACACGTCCTAAAGACAAAGGGGGACTAGCCCTCCCAGACTTCCACCAGTACTACGTAGCCACACACCTGCAGAGAATCATGGAGTGGTCTAAAGACGGAGTTCACAAACTATGGAAGACAGTGGAAGAGGCAGAAGCAGGCAGACCGATCTCGGGGCTTCCCTGGGGCCAAGACACAACCGATAGAGGTGACATGTCCATATACACGAGACACACTATGAGAGTTTGGAGGAAGGCCGCAAAGAAAGGGAATATGGCACCGTACCCCTCCCCCCTCCTGCCCCTGACACACAACGAGGACTTCCCGCCGGGTCTGGACCCTGGAACCCTCAAACACATCTTCCCAGACAGAACCCCACGCCTACACCACTTCCTCCAAGGTGGGAAATGTAAAACACTAACGGACTTGATGGGAGAGACGCCCCCGACCTTTATGCACCGCTTCCGACATGCCCAACTGACCAATTACACCCACTCCCTGCCACAGGGACCAGCACTGGCCAGAGACCAGACCACGATAGAAGTGGTCAGCTCACACCCAGACCCGCTCCCGCATGGAGTGTCCTTCTTATATTCCATGCTCCAATCAGAAACCCCGTCCGAGACACCACTATTCATGGGAAAATGGGAAACAGCCCTGGGTAACACACTAACGGAAGCAGAATGGGAAACCATCTGCTACCTTACACACCACTGTTCCACTCACAGCAAAACACAGGAAACGGCCTACAAGCTTCTAACACATTGGTATAGGACACCACATCTCCTTCATCACGTAAACCCAGACCACTCCAGACTCTGCTGGAGATGTGAACGAGAGGTGGGCACCACAAAACACATCTGGTGGGATTGCGCGTTGATCCAACCATACTGGAAGAGGATACACAAAATGCTAGAGAAGTTCGCGGACGCGCCCCCCCCCCTGGAACCGGCAGCGATGCTCCTACACCACACAACAGTTCCCCGATCCAAATACAAAAAATCCATGACCATTAGAATACTTAACGTGGCCAAACGAGTGCTCCCCCAATTCTGGAAACAAACAGTTACACCTCCACTTTCGACCTGGTTTAGCCAAATGGAAGAACTAAGGTCGATAGAGGAACTGACCATTACGGCCAACACTACACCCACTACCTACATGAGCATCTGGACGCACTGGATTCTAGAGACGGCAAAAGAAGAGTTCCAATTAGAACTCAGGCCTAACATTAACGGGAACCACGACACAGACAGATAGTACTCAGAACACACACCCCAGACGACGCTAGATGGTCGACAGACGAACTGGACAGAACTACCCCCCCCTTCTTCCTTTCTTCCCACCCAGACATATTCCCCCCCCTCTTGCCCCCTGCGAAATACCAGAGCATCATCATTGACTGAATCATCCCCACCGCACCCATAGCGACAAGGGAAAACATAATTGGGAACGATCAACAAACACGAGCTGGTACTTACATTCAGACCGGCCCGGGAAGACACCCCAAAGCCAAAACATGCGAACACCTGAGGGAACCCTGGACAGGCCCAGCAATGACACGGCTAATGCAGTATCCACACGCCCAAGGTAAGGGTACCCTTTACCCGCAATACCACCATTCCCTTGGTTAAACACGGGAAACACCGATAGTAATAACGGGGGTAAACACAAGCCCACCACGGACGATGACACATAGCTAAGGACACAGGGCCCGATGAGACGCCGTGGACAGGGACCATAGGGGTGGCCTACAAACACTGACACCTAATCAAAGACTGATTAATCTGGTTCAAGGACGATTACAAAGCATTATGTTCACTCAGTTCATGAAAACGTTACTTAATTTATATTCCCAAACAAATGTAAATACCAGAAAATGGGGACCTGCGAGTCCTTCTGTGATGGGGCCTGCGAGCCTAATTTGTCACCTTTTATAATAACATGCAATGGAGACCTGCGCGTCTCACCGCAAATTTAAATACGCAAAATGAATAAAAATCATATTCACAAAAAAAAAGAAAAAACTATTCTGGTGGCGTTCTTACAAGAAAGATGTTAGAGAATTCGTTCTGGCCTGTAAAATCTGTTCCTCCACTAAACTACCAAAAATTCATCCTTGTGGCCTTCTCATGCCATTACCCATTTCTGAAAAACCCTGGACTAGTATTGGATTTTATAGTGGACCTTGCGCCTTCAAGAAACCATTGTGTCATACTCACTATTATCGATAGATTTTGTAAAATGACACATCTGGTCCCTTTAATCAAACTGCCATCTTCTTCTGAGTTGGCTACAGTATTTATAAAAGAGGTAACTATAAAAAGATCCTCAAACTGCTGGATGATACGTCCAAACACAAGAGTTTCAACTGGAAGTCTAACTAAATAGAAAATAATATGTCAGATAACTAAATGATAGTAAATAGAATGATATAGGTATATAAACATGTTCCCAAAATAAACAGTCAGAAACAGATAGAGAATTACTAAAGCCAAATGTCTAACCTCCAACCATTAGGTCTATATAGATATCACTACTAACTCAGACTCCAGACTTTAATTCAATTAGGCACGGTCAATGTCTGAAAAGTAGTAAAAAGTATAAAGTGTATAAATATATACAACTATAGACCTAAAGCCTTGCCTAGAACCCGTAATGACTATGAATCCTCAGAAAAAAAGTAGCCACAGTAAAGTCTTCTTAGAGGAATAACGCCACCTTATTAGTCTGGGAATACTGGTCCTCTCATAAGGGTGAGTGGAGTAAAGGCATTGTGAGGAACCTTAAATCAGAAAAAGAAAAAAACACACAGTGTGGCTATATACTGGATAGTGTGTGTATCAAATATTGCAGAATTGACACAATATCTTCAGATTGCCAAAAGTTGCAAATAGGGGCTAACTTTGTAACAAGCATATAAACTTTCAGCTAAGCAGCCAAATAGTCTCTTAAACTAAGATCACTGTTACTTAGCCCCCTCCATTAAACTGTAGAATGCTTAAGTCGCCTTCATATAAATATATTCCAAAATTGACACAACCTATCAAGGTTACCACTGATTGCAAATCGGGGCTGACTCGTTAACAGGCAAGTTAGTTTTAAAGATATACGGTCAGAGCTTCTATCAAACCGAAATCACTTTTAACAAAACCCCTTATGTGAATTGCAACATGCTTAGATAACCCACTCAGACTGGGTTTAAGGTAAGAACGGAGGAAAAAAGGACAGTTTCAAGATTAAGACATGCTAATGTGCAGAACCATACTTAGAGTGTTGGTTGCCTGCACATAGTGATAGAGTGCCCTGTGAAATGAAAAAAGTGAAGGAAGAAACCCGACGCACGTTTCGCTGCCACAACGGTGCACCTTCGTCAGCGGCTGAATCTGTACTGTCCAAAGGGTCTCTATTATATACACAAATCCCTGCTGAAGCTTTGAAAATGGATCAGTCGGTGGTTAGAATTGGTCTAATTTCAGACGCCAAAGTGCCAATGTCTCATTATGCAAATGAGATTTTCGAATGATCCAATCAAATGCTACCCGCAATGCTTACTCGCTCAACTGCCGGTCAACACGGCAGTTAACCCTATAATCACCTATACTCCTAAGCGTGGAGATGACAGCTATATAATGCCGCTGTGGGTATTTGCCATAACGAGATAATCATACTCATTTTCCCGTACTGCTAATGTTCGAATAGAGTCAACACATCCTCTGATTAAATAACCCACACATCGCCAACAAAAACCTTAATAAAAGCCATGTGAATATACTAAGTTGACATAGCCCTACAATCCCATCGAGACCAGGTTATTAAATGATAAAGAGTAAACCATGATCCACAATGTCCCCTTCTGTAAATAGCTCGCTCGTGAAGTGCCTTATACTGGATGAAGTATGCTTAGAACTGATCTGGAACAGTATCAGCCCCTCCGGCCTCACTGCTTCTAAGTCAGAATCTCACCCAATGAGGTACATATTCATTTTAGATCGAAAACATCACCCGGACAACTAATGAAACATATGTAAATTGCTAGACACAACGGACATCAAACATATTGTGTGAATAGTCCTTGCAAAAGAGTACTACATTCAAAGTGCCCCCATTCATCACACTCGGTACTATCAAGACCTACTGGGTGTACGTGGCTATAATTAAAAGTGACCGTGCGTGCTACTGACTTCTATATTGTCCTATTGTTGCATACCTGTTATTACAAATATCTGTAAACTTACAAGAGTAAAGGGTCCATATTCTTTTTAGAAAAACAGCCTCCAATCATACCACGCCTAATCGAAGGACAGAAAATAATTGGACCTAAAGATCCGATGGTGCTCTAAGTCCACAACAATCTTTTACTAGAAGAAGGAATATTATACTAGTCACTGATAAGAATTTTTTTTTCAACCACAAGGATGAGGTATATCCCATTAAGAGGCTCCACCATATAGAATAATAAACTACTGGAATAACTTCCTAGCCGGTACTGTCTAGAGCTATTAATAAAGGTTTAGAATGCGTAGAGATCGAGGGAGCTAAACTATAAATGCGGGACTATAGTAAACCACTACTAGGGATCAGCAGAGGACACTTAAAGATAAATAACCCTTAAATTGATGAACAGTATTATACCAAATAACCTATTTACATTATTTACAAAAAAGATAATCTCCATAAAAAGTGTGCTCATTAAATATAAGGTCGGTATCTAATCAGGAATAAACGATGTGTAGGAAAACCCCTCATTCAAACCTGAGGGGGATAATGTCTTCAATTTATAAATCCAGTAACTCTCATGCTGTAAAAGTTTTTTTATCGATGTCCCCCTTCCTAGGGCCCATTTTGACTCTCTCCATACCGTTGAACCGTAAACCCTGTGCAGAACCACCATGTTGGATTTTCAGATGTCGCAAAATTGATGTATCTGTCTGTCTAGATGGATTAACAGAATTTACATGTTCCAAAATGCGATTTTTAAATGGTCTCAATGTCTTGCCCACATATTTCAAGTTACAACTGCAAGTAATGAGGTATACCAATCCCTCCGACTGAGAGTTTAAAAAAGTTTTTACTATGTGGGTTTCTGTATTCGCCGAGTCTGAAAAAGTTTTTGATTGTTTCCTGATGTAAAAAGAGGTAGTTCGTGTACATGGGATTCCTAATGACATAACTTCAGATAGAGGTTCACAATGTGTCTCTCGGTACTGGAGAGCCTTTTGTAACCAATTGGGTATTCACCTGAATTTTTCTTCTTCCTATCATCCTCAGAAAGGATGAATCAGTCATTGGAACAATATATACGTTGTTTTATTTCCGATCATCAAGATGATTGGGTAGATTTACTTAATTGGGCTGAATTTGCCCACAATAACCTAGTTCACGAGTTTATGCAACACAGTCCTTTTTTATTATTATTATTATGATATTTATAGAGCGCCGTCAAATTCCGCAGCGCTTAACAATGGGTGGACGAACAGACATGTAGTTGTAACTAGACAAGTTGGACACACAGGAACAGAGGGGTTGAGGGCCCTGCTCAATGAGCTTACATGCTAGAGGGAGTGGGGTAAAATGACACAAAAAGTAAGGATAGTATTAGACTAATGACAGTTGCAGAAGAGGAATCAGTCAGGAGCTATTAACAGTTTAATGGATACGCTTTTATGAAGAAGTGGGTTTTTAACGATTTTTTGAAGGAATGAAGACTGGGTGAGCATCTAACGGAGGAGGGAAGTGAGTTCCACAGGAACGGAGCAGACCTCGAGAAATCTTGAAGGTGAGCATCAGAGGTGGGAGTACGGACAGAAGATAGGCGTAAGTCTTCAGCAGATCGTAAGGGCCTAGACGGGACATCCTTGTGTATAAGGGAGGATAGATAGGTGGGAGCAGCATTATGTAGAGATTTGAAAGCAAGAACCAGAATTTTA